CTCCTAAAAAATAAGAAATGGGAGCTTTTTGTGTAGTTATACAATAATTATATGAATGTAATGATGTAATGTTAGAAACTGATAATAGAATTTATTTCTTAAATGGCTTTTAAGCTTTAGACTATAAAGTCTAAAGCTTAAAATATTTAGCCCAAGCCGGGTGTGGTGGTACATGCCTTTAGTACCAGCACTTGGGAGGCAGAGGCAGACGGATCTCTGTGAGTTCGAGGTCAGCCTGGTCTCCATGGTGAATCCAGGACAGCTGGGGCTACAGAGAGACCCTGTCTCAAAAAAGACCAAAGGAAAAAAAAAAAAGTTTTTGAAGTAGAAAATATACCTATGAGCCAAAAATTCAAATGATGTCAAAGTACTGTAGCATGTCCTGTGCCATTATTCCCCACTTCCATTTTGTTCCTTTTAAGAAAACTGCCTTTGGGGCTGGAGAGATGGCTCAGTGGTTAAGAACACTGACTGTACCTGCAGAAGACCTGGGTTTGAATCCCAGCACCCACATTGCAGCTAACAACCATCTGTAACTCCAGTTCCAGGGAATCCGACAGTCTCTTCTGTCTTCCGTGGGCATTGCATGACATAGGGGCACTTACCTACATGCAGGCAATACACGCATACACATAAAACAAAAATAATAAATAAAATATTAAAAAAGAAAAGAAAACTGCCTTTGTTGTATTTGTTCCTGGGTCATCTCCTCAGAGGCTACATACACATACATAAAGTATCTATTCCTACGGGCAAACTCATCCCCCTTTAAACAGAATTGTTAGTGTGCTGATGGAGAATAGTCTAAAGGCTATTCACTATTGAATTGTTTATAATAGAACTAATTATTGTTGCCTTGTGGGATTGTTTCTAATGGTTTTCTATTAAAGGAGCAAAATACTGAACTTTCAAAGATCGTGATTACATGTTTTTACTGTAATCCTTTATGTGTATATGCCTTTCATTTCCATGTGGATATTTCTTCTGTGTTCCGTATTCCATAAATAGATTGCTTAAGGAATAGCCATAAACAAAACCTTTTTATCTGTCTCTTAATATTTATTTAATAATTTATCATAATTTTAGAATGGAGTAAGACTTTGTTTAATTGAAAAGTAAAAGCAGGGGCTGGAGAGATGGCTCAGCAGTTAAGAACACTGGTTATTCTTGCAGATGATCCGGGTTCGAATCCCAGCACCCACATGGCAGCTAACAACTGTCCGAAACTCCAGTTACAGGGGATCCAACAGCCTCTTCTGTCTGCCGTGGGCATTGGACGACATGGGTGCACTTACCTACACACAGGCAATACATGCAGACACATAAAAATAATAAGTGAAATATTAAAAAAGTAAAAGTGTACCAATCATTCCCTCTAATCTATTTCACTTTTTTTTTTTTTTTTGGTATTTTTGAAACAGGTTCTCCCTACTGTAGCCCCAGCTGGCCTAAAACTCACTATGTAGACCAGGCTGACCTTGAACTCGTAGAGATCTGCCTTTGTCTGCCTCCTGAGTGCTGGGACTAAAGGTGTACATACCACGCCTGGCTCGCTTACTCTTTTTTTACAACGTTTTTAAATTGAATTTTTGTGGTTTTCATACCATATAGTTTGATGGTGTTTAAATCCCTCCCCATCCTCATTCTCCACTTACTGCCCCACCTAATTTAATTATATATCTAATAAGGCCTATGGAATCTAGTTTGTGTTCGTAAATGTTCTTCAGTGTGGGTCCATCCACTGGAGCCTCATCAACCTACCAAGAGTCCCACCCTTGAAAGAGACTGTCTTTCCCCCGTCCCAGCAACCATTGATTGCTAAAATTTCCTTAGGGTGGGTCGGAGATTTTTACCCACTTCCTCATGTCTGTGCTGAGATTTTGTCTGGTTTTCAGACTTGTGCATGCTGTCACAGTTGCTGTGAGTTCATATGATTAACTGACCAGCTGTCTGGAATACTCTGTTTCTTTGTGGTTATTCACCACCTCTGGCTCTCACAATCTTTCTGCCCCCTCTTCTGCAATGATCCCTGAGCCTTGGGAGGCAGTAGTTTGATACAGGTGTCCTATTCAGGGACAAGCACTCTACTGCTCATTGGCCAGTTGTGGATTTCTGTGTTAATCACCATCTGCTATGTATGGTAACTTACCTGGTGAGAATTGAGAACGCATTAATCTTAAGGGTAGAACAAGAAGTTATTAGGAATCAGTTTAATATGATAACTATTTAGTAGGACTCTCCCCTATATTTTGTGGCTTGTCTAGCCTCAGATTCCTAAGCCAGATGTTAATGTCCGGTATGGGCTCCACCCTATGATGTGGATCTTAAATCCAATTCATGCCGCTATTGTAATGGTAGGCCTACCTTGCCACAACTAGTTGTTGTTAAAGGATTCACAGCTGGATAAGGTTGAATATTTTTTTAGTAGCATGCATAGCACCTTCCAACACTGTGAATGTTACCCAGTAGAGATGAAATTCTGAAGTCAGCAGCAGCTGGATTTCTAATTTGTTCTACAGCTCATGTATGCAGTGTCTTTAGCATACGCTGTTACCATCCAGTTCTAGTGCGTAATCAAGAGCAGGGGCAGTGGCCAGTATTGAGATTCTTAGGACTTGTGGTCAACAGCTTCTAGAGAGGGAGTCCATTCCTGTCATTGACGTCTGTTTTGTTTTAATTAGTCTATGATGTGTAGAAGAGATGATTTCCCCTTGTTATAGGATAACTCCTTTTAATCTCTTTTTATGATATATATGTATATACTTTAAGTAACTGAGGCTAGAGAAATGGCTCAGTGATTAAGAGCACTGACTGATCATGAAGAGGACCTGGGTTTAATCCCCAGCACCCACATGGTGGCTAACAACCCCCCGTGACTCCCATTCCAGCAGATGCCTTCTTCTGACCTCTGTGGACATTGCATGACATACATGTAGGCAGTACACTCTAAACACATAAAATAAAAATATATAATAAATAAAATATTTTAGGAAGCTTCTATAGTGGTGGTTTCCCATACAGCTTTTTCTAAAGGCCTTTATTGTTACTTACCACCCCCCATTCTTCCTCCTCTGCCCTCGCATTCCCCACCCCATTTAGCCCTTTCTTTCTTTCTTTTGTTTTTTTTTAAATTTTTATTTATTTATTTTGGTCTTTTTGAGACCCAGCGGTCCTGGAACTCACTATGTAGACCAGGCTGGCCTTGAACTCACAGAGATCCCCCTGCCTCTGTCTCCCGAGTGCTGGGATTAAAGGTGTGCACCACCATGCCTGGCCCAATTTTTTTTTTTAATTTTTATTTTATGTGTATGTGTGTATTTCCTGCATGTAGGTAAGTGCACCCGCGTTGTGCAATGCCTGTGGAGGTCAGAAGAGGCTGGGACTGGAGTTACAGACAGTTGTTACCTGCCATGTGGGTGCTGGGATTCGAACCTGGGTCTTCTGCAAGAACAACCAGTATTTTTAACTGTTAAGCCATCTGTCCAGCCCAAGTCCTTTCTATTTTACTTTATTTTATTTCTTGGTCTCTTCTTTTTTGGAGACAGGGTCTCCCTGTAATCCCAGCTGATCTGAACTCAGTATGTAGACCAGGCTAGCCTTGAACTCACAGAGTTCTGCCTGCCTCTGAACTCTTTCTATTTTAATGTTCCCCACTTCATATCACTGCATTCTACCACCCCTCCCAGGAAGCCTCTCCGTTCATGGCCAGTTACTAATTTCTTGACTCTCTGGATTTTCATATTAAAACACGTGTACCTAAGATTTCAAAGCTAGCATCCAGCCATGAGAGAACACAAGACTGCTGTCCTTCCGGGTCTGGGTTACTACACTCAGGGTGATTGTTTCCAGTTTTATTCTTTTGCTTGAAGTTTTCTTAATTTTTTTTTAAGAGCTGAGTGATCTGTTGTGCATATGTACCACATCTTCATTATCTATTCATCAGTTTTCAACATTTAGATTGTCTCCAATTCCTGGCTGTTATGAAAAGGGCAGTTATGAACATGGATGAACAGGTATTTCTGTAGTAGGGTATAGAGCCTTTTGGGTGTATGCCCAAGTGTGTGACTGGGTCATGTGCTAGTTCAATTTCAAGCTTTATTGAGGAATCCACACTGACTTCCATAGTGGTTGCACCAGTTTACACTCCCATATCAGTGGACAGAGCTCCCCTTTCTCCACATCCTCACCAGCATTTGTTTTTTTTTTTTTTTTTTCCATTCTGAGTGGGATAAGATGAAATTTCAAAGTGGTTTTAATGTGCATTTCCCTGATGACTAGAGATGTTGGATCTTTTAAAGTATTTCATTTGTGTTTCATTGTTAGAGAACTCCCTATTCAGCTCCTTGTCACACTTTTAAATTTTATTTTATGTTTAGTTTTTTGTTGTTGCTCTTTGTGTATTTTAGATCCTAACCCTCTGTCAGTGGTATAGCTGATAAAAATTTTTTTCCCCATTCTGTAGGTTGACTCTTCACTCAAATGTTTTCTTTTGCTTTACAGAAGATTTTAATTTCAGGAGGTCCCACTCTTCAGTTGTTGGACCTAATGCTTGTCTAGGAGTCCTGTTCAGAAAGTCCTTTTCTGTGCCTGTAAGTTCCGGTGTAGTCTCTACCCTCCTCAGTCTGATTCAGCATATTAGGTCTTATGTTTAGGTCCTTGACTCTTTACATTTTCTTTTCTCTCTCTGTCTCCCTCTCTTGAGACAGGGTCTCCTTGTAGCCACAGCTGGCCTGGAACTTGCCCTGGAGACCAGGCTGGCCTTGATCTCAGAGAGATCTGCCCACCTTTGCCTCCAGAATGCTGGGGTTAAATAAGGTGCATACCACGACTCCAGGCTATTCAGGTATTCTAATTATGCATAACGGCATTGAAAGTTTCCTTTTCTTAGAATTTGTTAAATAGCATTTTCTTTTAATATACTCTACTCTTGGTGGCCACACAGCATCTCAGATACTCCATGTCCTTAAGGAAAGTAATTAAGGACCTGTTTTTTTTTCAAGACTGGAGCCACAGCACCTTCATTTATTGATCAGACAGAAGAACCTGAGTCAAACACAGCAGATGGCCCAGAATTGTTTGAAGACAGTCAGCTGGACAGTCGCTCTAAAGCAATAGCATCAAAAACCAAAGAGATCGAACAGGTGAGAATACAGTTTTTTAAGAGACGTAATTTTTGGATTGTGTCATTCTCCACATGTAAGTATTTATTGAATAAACACAGTCATTTGTCTTTTTCCACTTGTAACTCAAATTTCATTGAAAACATTTTTGGATTAATTTCATAGTCATTATTGACATTGTGATCACCTTCCTTAATTTTAAATAATGAATTAACTTGATTTTTTTTAAAAGAGAAAGTAGCCTATTAATGAGTAGCAATGAAAAACTGTTAAGCTTGTCATAGTGACATTATTCTGAACAATAGCATCTTGTTGTTTTTTTTTTTTTTTTTTTTGTCTTTTTGAGATAGGGTCTCCCTGTAGCCCCAGCTGTCTTGGAACTCACTATGTAGACCAGGCTGGCCTTGAACTCACAGAGATCTGCCTGCCTCTGCCTCCTGAGTGCTGGGATTATTCTTTTTAATGATGTTGTTAGTCTCCACTTTGAAGAAATGTCAGCCGTTGCTTTAAGTAATTTTCTTTTTGGCCTTTTTGAGACAGGGTCTCCCTGTCTGGTTCCCCCAGCTGGTCTGAAACTTATTATGTAGAACAGGTTGGCCTTGAACAGTTATATCATTTTCTAAACTATATCTGAAGTTAAGAACAAATTAAGGATTACCTTATTCAGTTTCCACACCAATGGAATCTGCTTCCCTTGATTGGGTGGGAAACAACCTCAACTAAATCCTGGATGAGATTGTGACTGATTGTGTTGACGCCGTGTGTAGCAGAAGATAAGAGCCAAGCTAGGAAATTTGCCATGCAAACCAATAGAGTTTCAAAATGAAGGTTGTTGGAATGTTCAGTTGAGGAGTATAAGAAAAATGGAGACGAAGAAAATTTTATTTAATTTGGTGTGTCCAGGTGTTGGTGTCTTCGAAGATATCAAGTAAGTGAGAACATATATGAAGTTCCTTACTACATGCACCTTCATGAATTTACATGTCGTTGCCCTGTACAAAACTTCTGTCCTTTTGTTTTTCTATTCTGGCTTCACTTATTTCCCATTTTGTGTGTGTGTGAACGTGTGTGTTTATATCTCTGCATTTTTCTGTGTTTTGGATCTGAATGTGCGTGTGTGTGTCCAGAGGACAGCCTCAGGTGGAGGTGTTCAAGTGCCATCTACTTCTTTTTCTTTTCTTTTTTAAATATTTTATTTATAATTTTTACTTTGTGTATATGAGTATATTGCCTGCATGTGTGTAAGTACACTCATGTAGTACACTGTCCATGGAGGACAGAAGAGAGCATCAGATTTCCCTGGAACTGGAGTTATGGACGATTGTTAGCCACCGTATGGGTGTTGAGAATTGAGCCTGGGTTCTCCGCAAGAGCAGCCAGTGCTCTTAACCACCGAGCCATCTCTCCAGCCCCCTTCTTTTTGTTTTTGAGACAGGTCTCTCACGGGCCTGGAACCAATCAAGTAGGCTACACTGGCTAGCCAGTGAGCCCCAGGGGCACCTGCCTGCATCTCCTCAAGCACTGGGATTACAAGCACTTGGTACTATGTGTGGCTTTTTATTTGCGTTCTGTAGGTCAAACTCAGATTCTTGTGCTTTGAAGTCAAGAGCTTACTGACTGAGCCGTGTCTCTAGCTCCATTTTCTTTTGTGTTTGAGGCAGGGTCTCATAGTTTAGCCCAGGCTGCTCTGAAACTTGGCTGGCTTTGAACTTCAGTGTTTCTGCCTCAGCTTCCAAATGCTGGGGTTGCTGTGTGGGCCATCATGCTAGCTTTTTTGTTTTTAAATTCACTTGACATTTGTTTGTTTCCTTGTCTCTCTTTACCATAACAGACTTCATGAGAACAAGGAGTTTGCTTTGCTAAGTACTCTATTGCCATAGAACAGTGTGTAGTAGACTCATGAAAAGTATTTGTTGAATGATATGCAAATTCATAAGGGACGGTGACCCTTGAGTAGTTTCTGAGTCACTTGAAGTCAGGGTCTCTCTTACTTTGTCACCTACCATATGACTTAGGCCTCTTAGCAGCAAGTGCTTGGTAACTTTAGGTCGAATGGATGAATGATTTAATGTCTCTTTTCTTCCCACATTGTAGTTCTTTAAAGACAAGGTTCTCCTAAGAACATAACTGGCAGAAACACTGTGCTGAAATAACAGGGAGTATTTGTGTTTGTCATTTATTAATATTTTTGCTCTTTCTTTGTATTATCATTCATAGTTGACCTCTTTGATCTTGAGAAAGTACCAGTCAGGTACACAATCTAGCTTGATGGTACACACAAAATTACTTAGTTTGAAACCAATTTTATATCACTCTGTAGGTTGATCTCACAGAGATCCGCCTTCCTCTGCTTCCATAGTGCTGGGATCCAAGACTTGCACTACCATGCCTGGCAAATTTATGTCTTTTGACATATTGTTACCTTTTCATCTCTGGACATGTAAGAATTTTCTTAGTGTTAAAGGTGCAGGTGATTTTTTAAAATCCTTCAGATTATAGTTAGCTATGACAGAGAACTACGAGTCTAAATCTTTAACCCAGATGACATTAATTTGCATCTAGGAGATGGTGTATTACTAGGGATGAACTGCTTTGAACCAGCCCACTTTGATTTGAATATTCTTTGATGGATATGATCTGCTTCTGTATCCAGCACATTTGAGTTCCTTATGCTTTGGAGCCTAGGCTAATTTCTTGTTTTCCATCATGAGTACAGATTATCTCCTTGAAGTTTGGCCATTTTGTGTTAAATTATTGGAATATTTTGCTAGGTTTCCTGTTTTGATCAAATCCACACCCACTCCCTCCCCTCCAACTCCTCCCATATATCCCTTCCTCCCCTCCTTCCCTTCCTTCCTTCTTCCCTCCCTCCCCTCCCTCCCTTTTTCCCTCCCTGCCTCCCTCCTTTTCTGGGCTTGTTTCTCTAACAGTCCCTCTCTGAAGCGATAACCTTAAAATCTTTTAAGGATTAGATACAAGCTCCCAAATATTTTTGATGTTTTTGGCCTTTGGAACAGAGTATGTTGCTAAGAGGCCCAAGGACATTGTGACTTTTAGCCAAGAGACTGGCTACTTTTCCTTGGGGCCTTTTTACCCTAACCACCTAGCCAATTCCTACCTCTTATTCATTTATTTATTTATTATTATTTATTTATTTATTTTATTATTTTTATTTTGTGTGTATGAGTGTATTGCCTACATGTATGTGAGTGCACCCGTGTAGTGCAATGCCGCGGAGGTCAGAAGAGGGCTTCGGATACCCGTGGAACTGGGGTTAGGACGGTTCGTAGCTACCATGTGGGTGCTGGGAATTGAACCCCGGGTCCTCTGCTAGAGCAGTCAGTGCTCTTAACTGCTGAGCCATCTCTCATTCATTCTTATTCATTCTACCTCTTATTCATTCTTATCTCTTATCACACCGTCCTCTGAGGAGGCTACCCAAAATGCTGATAGGGGATCGGGACGCAGACCATTCTGTCTTTAAAGAAGGAAATTTTGCTGGGCATGGTGGCACGTCTTTAATCCCAGCACTTGGGAGACAGAAGCAGGTGGATCTCTGTGAATTCCAGGCCAGTGGGGGCTATAGGGAGACCCTGTCTCAAAAAGACAAAAAAAAAGAAGGAAATTTTACCATTTCTCCTGCCTTAATGTGGGATTCTTACCTGTGGCTTGGGGTTTGGCATTGACTCCTTAACTGTCATGTTCTGCAGCCATCGGAGATCTATTGCCGCCCCATTTGACTTGTCAGTGCCGTCTCATCACTTATGTTCCTGTTTCTTGCCAAATTGCCATCTAAAAAGAAGCACACAAAGTCAAGTCTCCCTTCTTTTGCAGCTCCAGAGATCAAACCAGAGTAAATTCTTTGCAACTTTATAGCATTTATTATTCTGAGTCCTTTAGACTTTGATTAAATGGTATGTAGCTAGCCTATCTGGGAGACCCCCTGTTTTCTTGGTGTCCTGACCTCAAATGTTATTTTCAAAAAACTTTTCATCTTCTTTCTTCAGAAGACCTTGGATATGCCTTACCTAAATATGTAGGAGGTGTTTGCTTAGGTGTGTGCTGATCGTGTGGCTGAGTGTTAGGGTGGCCAAAAGCCACTCAAAGCACGGCAGAAGCAGAACGTTACCCACAGCAATAGCTGTGAGGTAGCTGATGACCAGCTGGAGCTCAGTGATGCAGTAAATTAATCTTGTAAAAAGAGAGCCTTTGATTTCTTCACCTCAAAGCACAGGGCTTTTCATTTTGTAATTCTTGGATGTTTATATTGTCTACCTCAGAAGTGTTGAAACAGAGGGCCAGCAGGATGGCCCAGTGGGTAAAGGTGCTTGCATCACAAGCCAGGCCACCTGCGTTCCATCTCTGAAACCCACATAAAGGTAGAAGGAGAGAGCCAACCCAGCACACACATGGTGTCAAGCATGCCTCTGTGTGTATGTGTGGGACACATAGCTAGTCATAAGTTTTAAACACTAAAAAACAGTATAAGTCCTTGGATTGCAGTGTAAATATTGTGGTGAGTCAGTACCACAGCATCTTAAACTTTGTGCATGGAAAACATTTGGGGGTTTCATTAGAAGTCAAACTGACTAAGTAGATCTCGGTAGGGCACTAAGATTTGAAATTTCTATTGTGTTTCTTACTGATCCTGCTGTTCTGCAGTCTATTTTAAATAATAGTTAGAAAAGAGCTCTTTGCTACTCAAATTCTGTTATTTCTTTTAAGCTGAAAAGTTGGAGAATATTATCATCTTAATCTTATATGGGTTAGAGAAGTTTTAAAAAATATATTTTATTTATTTTTATGTTATATATATGCATGCGTTGCCTGCATGTGGGTAAGTGCGCCCGTGTTGTGCAGTGCCCGAGGAGGACAGAAGAGGCTGTTGGATCCTCCAGAACTGGAGTTGTAGGCAGTTGTTAGCTGCCATGTGGGTGCTGGGATTCGAACCCAGGTCTTCTGCAAGAGCAGCCTATGAGTTCACTGGGATGCCTGGGAGGTAGATTCCTGAATATATAGAC